ATGAGGCCCCGCTTCTCAGTGTCCCCGTAATTGCTGCAAGCACCTCTGAGAGAAAGCCGCCCTCGAGTTCTGACCGATGCCAGACAGTCCAGTTTCTCCCGTATGAGTCTGGGTCCCCAAAGACTCGCCTGGAACTGGAGTTCAGAGCAGACAGGAGCTTGAGACTCCCTCCCGATTGAAAAAGACAACCATGTCCTCAGCTGCCAGCCCTTTCTGCGTGCACCTCCGTACCTCTGCACTTTACTTCCGCACCTCCTCTGAGTCTCAGTGTGCTTTTCTCTTTCTTTCTAGTTGTAGAATTTCTACTCAGCCAACCTTCCTGTGGTTCTGGATGATGTCCGTTTTGTCTTTTATTTGTATTTTTGAAGTTGTTGTACGAGGCAGCAATTTCCGGTGTTTACCTATGCTGCCATCTTGGTTTTGTGCACCGGGCCTCTAGTAGCTATATAATAGCCCATTGTATAGAGGTGATGAAATCATAGTTCACATTTTTATTATTCTTAGGCATTTGGGCTATTTCCATTTGGTTGCTATTTTTTTTATGGTGCAAAAAATATGTATGTTTGTGTATACATACATACACACATCTACACATAGATATCTATACATATATATCTAAATATGTACATATATAATCTGTATATATACACTTGAGCAATTGTATCTACAGAGAAAATTTGTAAATGTAGAATTACAAGTGTGTGTGTCTATATATATAATATGCACACTAAGTGTATGAATTTGGGCTATTTCCATTTGGTTGCTATTTTTTTTTATGGTGCAAAAAATATGTATGTTTGTGCATACATACATACACACATGTACACATAGATATCTATACATATGTATATCTAAATATGTACACATATAAAGTATATATATACACTTGAGCAATTGTATCTGCAGAGAAAATTTGTAAATGTAGAATTACAATTGTTTGTGTGTATATATATAATATGCACACTAAGTATACATATGTAATGTATATATGCATATTTGAGCAATTATATCTATAAGGATAATTATTAAAATATAATTTTTATGCTTAAGTGTATATATGCTTTAAAGTTGGAAACTATTTATACATTCACATTGCTTTATCTCCTATATTTGTCATGCGTGGAAAGGCTGCTTCACTCTGAGATTAAATAAAAAAATATATACCTCCAGTTTTGTTCTAGTATTTTATGGTTTCAACTTTTATGTTAGATACTTTGATGAAGTTTGAATTTATTGTGAGAAAAAAATAAAAAGGGAATACAAATATACAAAAAAAGTGATAAAAAACAAGGCTTAAATAGTGCAGTACTACTTGCTCAGGATTATGGGTCTGCAGATATCCAGAACCATGGTCAACAAAGAGTGTAAGACTATCTTAAGCACAAAAACATATTTAAAAAATAATAGCATTATACTTTCCATGTTTTAGATATTTTGGTTGTTTATTTTTTAATCTTTTAATGAAAACTTTAAACTTTGTCTTTTTATAATTACTAATTTTTGAGGGATAGATTATACACTAATAGTCAAACAATATCATTCAATAAAGAGTCAAATAGAAGTGATGACATGACACCAGAAAAAGTTAATGTCCTGCACCACTCATTCTATACTGTGTGTTTGGGGAAGAATCTGATCCTAAATCATGTCCAAAATACCAGCAGAGTCTAGAACCCAAAGTAGAAAAAGGCATCCAAAGGAGCAGGGAGTGTTACAGTGTTTGAAACAAAAGCATGGGTTGGTGGGATGTTTAGAAGCAGATAACTAATAGGTTTTACAAATAGAGCAAAACAAAAACAAACAGTTTTTTAAACAGAAGACAAAAACATATATTTAGGACAAACTGATTTAATGTTTTGGGAGAAAAAGAAAATTCATAAAAATCCAGGATGGAGCAAGATTCCTGACATCTTTCACTGCTACTTTCGTACTTTCTAGTAGGGAGCACCAAACGCTATTTAAATAGGCAAGAAACATGGGAAAATATTACTTGAAGGAATTTCACCTGACATCAGAGTCTCCAATGGATTGGGAAGAGGGATCAGGAATGCAATGGAATTTGTTAAGGAATTTTATTTTTCCATGATATAAATAATCCATGCTATGGGTCCAAGGCTCTCACCTCTACCGTACAAGATCCTCATGCTTATCTTTTTCTTTTTTAATTTTTTTTATTGATTTCAGAGAGAGAGAGGGAGAGGGAGAGAGAGAGAGAGACACCAATGATGAGAGAGAATCATTGACCAGCTGCCTCCTGCACACCCCCTACTGGGGATCAATCTGACTGGGAATTGAACCAGATCTCCTGGTTCATGGGTCAACGCTCAACCTCTGAGGCATCCTGGTCAGCTTCATGCTTAACTTTTGAATTTTATTTTAGGGGTTGCTTGATCCTTTGTGTATTTCATTTTCCCACACATGATTCATTTCGGTCAGTGACAACTTAGCCAGCTTAGAAATGGTAAATTTATGTGAGAACCTCTTGTTCCATATTCCTCTATATCACGTTTTTTGTTGTTTTTGTTTTCACTAGCATTGCTTTATGGGTTACACATTGGAGAAAGAAAAGGAAAAACACTTTCTTCATTTCTGATACTTAGTGCTAACTCTGGAACATACATGCATCACTTAGAGATAATTAGAAGCAAAGAATCCCCATGACTTTGTGCAGCAGATCCCCAGACATGCACAATGCCATCACTTGCAGAGCTTCAGTTTGACATGACAGGTGCCAGGTGTTACAGATTTACTTGTTTTTAAAGTAAAACAACAACAACAACAACAACAAAAATGCAAGCAGTCTCACAAATGAAGCAGAGCAGATTCTGCCAGCATAAAATGCCTGGCATGCATTTCAACAAAATAAATTCCAGCAGTTTTAATGAAGGAACCTGTTTCCGGACACATGAATTACAATGTCCCCAAACCTTTTGTCCTCAAAAATCAATCACATGTCCCTTAGATACTTGAGAAGCAGTGCGATTCTTCCCAAGCTCCTGAAGCTGCGCAGACATTGTTTGATGGATTGAAGTAATTATTTCTAAAGTCCACTTCTTAGTTGTTTACTGAAAAATATAATTCTGACGCTATTGCTGATCTTCCTTTTCATATGCTATTTGGCATTTTTCATTAAGTTATGAAATCTAAACTACAGGAAAGAAAAAACATTACTTTTCATGGAATTTTTGTTTGCTTTTGTGAAAGTGTTTGCAAAGGTAAAATTAATTAGTTGTTTCCTTATTTGGTTTGTCTAAGCCTGCCTTGTGCATGAATTAATGAGGATAGAAATATAACCTCGGTCTTTCACAAACTCTGTGTATGTAATCTTTCATCTAAAATCTGTTCCTCTTCCTGTTTTTCCACATTAGTAAATGTTGTCAGTATTCAGTCAGTTTTCCTACAAGGAAATGGAAATTAGAGGAATTTTTGTTTGATCAGACAATTTTTAAAGATGCGCTCAACCTCATAAGGCCCCATTAACATGGCAGTGAAAGAACTTTGTAAAGGATGCTCCAAAACCACAATAAAGCAATTGAGTCTACTTTGCAGCTGTGGGAGTTTAATATTTCCAGAAGATGGAAAGGGGGTGGAAGAGTGATAACAGAAATATCAGTGAGGAACATTGGCAGCTTGTTATATACACAGAGGGATATGCATCTTGAGAAAGAAATAACCTGCCCTGTAGAACCCAGAGAAGCATGTCACTTAGAAAGTATGGGTTTGAAGGAGATCAGTAGTAAAATATGAAAATATAAACAAGGATGCTAATTGAAATGCTATTTTTGGAACGGTTGATCCTGACTCTGTGAGAACAGAATCTACAGTATCAGGAATCTAATACACTAGGGAAAAAAATATCTGATAGGTGGTGGGGGAGACGTTACTTTTTTAAGGAAAATAAAACATCTGAAAACAGCTAACAAAGTGTTCTTATAGATCTCTATATTATAAAATTTGTGGGTCCTCAAAAACAAAATAAAAACATCTAGTTCCTTTCCCAACTACCAAAAATCAAAGCTCTTTCCCTTCCAATAAATTATCTCACCATCTTATGCAAAGCTCGCCAGCAGGTTTTTGTTGTCTCATCCTTAAATGTGTATGGACAACCAAGTATCATCCAACATTTGAGGTTAGAAAGCAATATGAACACAAAGGTCCAAAAGAAATAACAAAAAAGTAAAGATAAAAACTAAAAAACTTTTACTTACATTTTTGTGACAACCCTAGAAGATAAGTCATTCATTAAAAAATAAAAGAAAAGAAAAAGAAACATGTAACTATGAAAATAAAACAATCATAAAAAAACACATCTGAAAAATTAAAAATAAAATACCAACATTATTCCTTAGACTTAGAGCTTCAAAAGTAGAAAGTGTCCTCCTAGAAAATAGAACAAAAGAGGAATAAACAACAACAATGAGAGATAATATAAAATAAAGAAGATACCCCAACAGATTTAGTATCTTATGCAAAGGATACAGTGTTCAGATTCATAGGTCAACCAAATACAGAGTCAACAAATAAATTTATGGTTGTAAAATTACCAGAAACAAAATGTAATGAGGTTGCATAAGAGGGAAAGCTTAGTCACCTGAAAAAGAAAATTCTAGCATCTGACTCCTCATCAGAAAGCTAGATTATACAAAATAATGGATAAGATATCCAAAGCTCCCAGGGGGTATTATAATTAACCTAGAATTCTATACCCAGATAAACTATCAGTGTGAGGGTAAAATAAAGATTATTTTATATATGTAAAGGCCCAGGAAATTTACCTCCAAAATACCTTTCCTAAGAAAATTGCTAGTAAAATGAAGGCTAGAACCAAGAAATAGGAGGATATATGTGAAACCAGTGTTCAGTGGTGAAATTCTGTACCAAGATGAAATCCCAGCCATTGGACTAGGGGCCATTCAATTCAAAATAGAGCCAAACAGAGTCCTCTGTAAAGGAGATCCACAAAATAAACAATATTGACATACTTGTTAAAAGATAAAAATGTATTAGAAAATAGAAGAAATAATTTGAGCTCTTCTTTGGGAACATTATTCTTTGGCATAGTGGTCACACTAGTAGCTTTAAAGTAGGCAATATAATCCTAGCAAATTTTTGGTTTCATAGTAAACAAAATTTTCATGATCATACTCTTTGTAACTCATAATTAATTCATAGACATATCGAGAAGGGCTTAACTATGGTTTATCTTGGCCTAGCTGTTCCTGTACGTTATGACCCTCCCTTTATCCAAGCCTCCTCTTATACAACCTGCTTCATCATCTCAGTTCATTTCTTTTGAAGCTGACCTATCATTCTCTCATACACACTAAGGTCTTCTCCACCTCGGGACCTTTAAACAAGCTTTTTCATCTCTCTTCTCTTGCAGATTTCTCAGGTAAATGTGACCTAATTCTCTTCACCAGGTTAGTTCTACCTGTACCTCTTTTTCTTCATAGCACCTGACATATAATAAGTGATCAAGAAATTTTTGTTCATCATATGAATAAATGGTATTTTTCTTGCATAAAATTCTCTGTGTTTGGAAAACTGTTTTGTATCTCTTTGTTAAAGGCTTTATTATGTACTAGAGGCCTGGTGCATGAATTTGTGCATAGGTGGGGCCAGCCCTGCCTGCCCTGATGGGGGCCGATGGGTCTGGGCCAGCTGGAGGGAGGGGCCGCAGGAGGTTGACCAGCTGGCCCCACCCCAATAGGAGTAGGGGGTCCCCTCCGGTTGGCCCCGCCTCCAAATCAGGATGGGGAGACCAGTCAGGGGCCGGACCAGTGGGAGGAGGGGCCGCAGGATGTGGGGGGGCCAATCAAGGTCCCGATTGAGATGTTTTGCCACCGCAGTGCACGTCATAGTGACTGGTCATTCCGGTCATTCTGTCGTTCTGGTTGCTTGGCATGCATATATATATATTTGTTTAGGTGATATGTCTTTTTTATAGATCTTAGTATCTTGCTCAGAAAAATGACTTACTAGCTCTACTGTGGATTAGTAGCATGTGCTACCTTATATTATTCTCTACTGGACATCCCTAAATTGTGATCAGGAAAACAGAGGGATAGATCTTATGTACATAAACTTAAAGCAGTGCCATATAATTAGAAGAAAACCCAGTGTAGTTGGTAATATGCCTGTAAGGAAGGGCACTCACACTCATCTTGACATAATTTTACAACTTGTAAATTCTGCAGTCACTCTGCTAACCTTTTTAACTTCTAAATCAGTTCTCCAGAATCCCTGAATTAAAATAAATAAATATTTAAAATTTAGTTGTGAAGAGTTCTTATGCTCTTAATTAAATATTACATAATTTATAAACTAAATAAAAATGCTTTCTGTTTGCTATAGCCTCAGGTATTTAAAAATAAATTTAACATCCTTTGTAGATTACATACATTTTAACTATCAGTTCCTCTTTTTTAAAAAACATATTTTTATTGATTTCAGAAAGGAAGGAAGAGGGAGAGAGAGATTGAAACATCAATGATGAGAGAGAGTCATTGATTGGTTGCCTCCTGCACACCCCCTACTGGGGATTGAGCCTGCAACCCAGGCATGTGCCCTTGACCAGAATCGAACCTGGGACTCTTCAGTCCACAGGCCGACACTCTCTATCCACTGAGCCAAACCAGGTAGGGCTATCAGTTCCTCTTTTTAAAGTAGAGATGTTACATACAAAATTTTCCAAAATTCATTCAAACAACATATCTAACTTATTTTTATTCATACGCATTGTGAAATCAAAACTCCATTAGTATGGCAATATTCCTATTTTAGAATTCTACAGAGTACCTGAAGTTATAATGGGATTCTTTGATATATTTTCTTTTAAAATGCTGTTTCCATTATAGTTATAAAAGAAAATAACATACAGTTTTGGGGTACCATAAAAAAGATACTGTGGGGAAATAACTACTCTTGTATACTTTTGTTTCTATTTATCTACTCTTTATTTTTAATTATAGCCCCAAATTAAGTTTTTTCACTCTTTAAGTATTCAATTTCTATTGGCTATAAATAAGATATTGTCTCTTGTAAATAACAAATTAAATGTTCTTGTGTATGTGTATTTTTCTGTTTTTACAGAATTATTTTTATTTTTGTAAGTTCATATTACTAACAGTGTTCCTTTTTAATAATTATCAGAAATTAAAATTTAAATGTTCAGCTTTAATTATTTAATCAGAGCTGCTTTTTCTATTTTCATTGGTATTTTTGATGCACCATTTATTTTTTATTGTTTCTTTGCCCAGATAGTGGCATTCAAATCTAAAAATCACATTCCTGTGGTCATACAGGAAAGGCCTATGTTTCACAAGTATAAGTAAAACAGGAATTTAAGATCATTGTGTTGTGGCAGGTCAATAGTCTGGCTGTGTGATATTACAGTGTAGTTTTGTATGATGTTACTATTGGCGGAAACTGAGTAAAGAATAGATGCCATCTCTCTGTATTTCTTCTTACCACAAGTGAGTCTCTAATTACCTCAAAATAAAAAGTTTCTTTAAAAAATTTTTAAAAGAGCCTATTCTCATTCACACTAAACCCAATATGCTTAAGCCAGTTCTCCTCCACTTTGTAACAATGATTGTGGGACATTAGCTTTCAAAATTGTGTAGTAACAGAAGAGGAATAAATATGATTTTAAGGGTAAACATTGTTTATATCATTTCTATCCTAATCCTATGACCAAAACTTAGTCACATGGCCCCAAAAACTGCAAGGGATATCAGATCCGTGGGAAAGCAGAAGACTTAATGATTGGGGGTCCATTGAGAGCTGCATTGAGCAGATCTTTAGCTTTTAGGTTGAAGTCCCAGTTTGATATTAATTATATTCATCTCAAAATTATTTTTACATAGCTTCTAACTCTCCCATTTTAATACCTATTTTTTTAATTAGATATGTAAAAAGAAAAAAATAGGGTGCACCCTGAAAATTAATATTTCAGCTCTGTAAAACAGAATAACCAAGGCACATATCTTGCCTCAGCTTGCCCACAAAACCCAGTTACAGGCCCACTTTGTGTCAAATGGCCTATTTCCTGTCCCACTCATTTCTGACAACCTGCCAAATTAGAGCTCATCTCTGATTGCTTCTAATGTTTGGCTTTGTTTTCCTTATATGACCCTCTACCTGCTCCTCCATAATTAGTATTGAGATTCACACTTCAGATTCTTCCTATGAACTAGAATTTGGTTCACTACTGAGATTATATATGAGACCACAGTTTTGGATGGAAAATCATTTATAAATTCTAATCCTTCAAAGGCCATTTTTGACCATATGTTGGTACTCAGTAAAAGAGGTATTTAGGCATCTAATGTGTAGGTAGCTAAGGTTTATTTAAGCCATCCTTGAATATTGTCTACATAATAACTTCAAGTCCTTAGGAATATTAAAGTAATATTCATAGCAAATGTTTTCTCTTCAATTTATCTAAGTGCAACTTTTAGCAAGCAAAATGTATGTGTTAGTTTCTACTAATAAGTAAACAGTAAGTCCTCATTTTTGCTCTTTGAGGGTAAATTTATTATTTTACAAGCTCCTATCCAAAAAATTATTTATTAAAACTTCTATTGTTTATTGACCTCTGATTGGAAAAGGACTTATATGATACTTTACTAATGATATGACAAATATTTACTGTGTAGCTATTAAAGAGGTTATATTATATTTCCATGAATTTTAACCTCCTATTAATTAATTGATATAACTGCCAGAATGACTTATAGTAGAAAGGTAGATGACAGTAATTAAACCACTTTATGGTTATTAAATATACATCATATAAGATTTTAAAATATATATCTCTAACCACTAAACATTGTACTTTCTCCCTCTCCATTTCTTTTCCTTAGACACTTAAAAGTATATCTTTCTTTTTTCCTATTTGTTCCTCAATTTGCTATAACTTGCAAAAAAAAAACACCTTCTAATTTATAAAAAAAATAATAGTCAACCACCAAATAATGTGTTTTTGTTTAAAAAGATTTCAAAAGTGAGGACTTGGATATAATAATTGGTATTAAAATATAGTTTCTACTATTTGATAGTAGTGAGTATTTATTCTCATGGGTGGGCTACAGTAAGAATGAAAGATTATAATGACTTCATGTGTACAATTGTACATAATTAGTTAATAATCTAGTAGCTCCCTGAAGAGCTTGATTATACACTCTCCTTCACTTTTGTGATGAGCAAATGATTTCCAGAAATCCTATTCATGATTAAATCTTTCTGCATTACTAAAATTTACTGGCAGTTCAAAATAGAATCATCTGTGAAAGGAGCTTATATTGGTGGAGCAGCAATTCTTTATACATCATGCATCCCAAAATGTTCTAAAATGAGCTTCCAGTACACATTGCACTATGCTCATAGGAAGAGCAAATAAGGGATTACTTATAATTCTCATTGGTTTACCCCATGCTTAATGATTTGTTACTGGCATAATAAGAACTTAAACAAAAACTACTGGTGATGAAACTCTAAAGTCAAGAATATTTAAGTCTCCTAACATACTTAAAAATAATTTTTAATGACTAATAATTGACCTCACAGCAACCAGATTAAAGACATGGACATCTTAATAGCTTTTCTTAAAAGTGACTCACTCATATTGGTCCAGTTAATTGAGTTTTTAAATGAGAGGGAAGGTCATCACAATAAGGAATGAAGATATATTTTGTTCATAATAAGACTAACCAGTTTCCAGAGTTAAACCAAGAAGAAAGCATGATAAATTCTAGCAACAATAATGATATTTAAAGGTAGTCACAGTAAGTGGATCTCAGAATAATGCAACTAATATCCAGTGCATAAATTTGATTCCTTTATATGATATATTTTATTAATTTGTGCCAATGGTGAGACAAAAAATTAGGGGGATTAAATAATTTACCCAGTGTCACATAATAAACAAATGATGAAATCAGGAATATAGTCCTGGCCATCAAATTCCAGAGCCTGAACTTAGTTGAGACTAGCGGAAATAGAGGATAATAAACACAAAAAGAAAAGAGGTTTCCTATCTTGAAATGGTAATTTTTCTTGCTGGTATTTCTTCTCTCTCTTTTTACAAAGTGATCTCTCCCAATAAATCCATTACCTACCTGACTCCATATATACCATATTTTTCCGTGTATAAGATGCCCCCATTAATAAGACACCCCCTACTTTTCCATATTAAAGAGGTTATATTATATTTCCATGAATTTTAACCTCCTATTAATTAATTGATATAACTGCCAGAATGACTTATAGTAGAAAGGTAGATGACAGTAATTAAACCACTTTATGGTTATTAAATATACATCATATAAGATTTTAAAATATATATCTCTAACCACTAAACATTGTACTTTCTCCCTCTCCATTTCTTTTCCTTAGACACTTAAAAGTATATCTTTCTTTTTTCCTATTTGTTCCTCAATTTGCTATAACTTGCAAAAAAAAAACACCTTCTAATTTATAAAAAAAATAATAGTCAACCACCAAATAATGTGTTTTTGTTTAAAAAGATTTCAAAAGTGAGGACTTGGATATAATAATTGGTATTAAAATATAGTTTCTACTATTTGATAGTAGTGAGTATTTATTCTCATGGGTGGGCTACAGTAAGAATGAAAGATTATAATGACTTCATGTGTACAATTGTACATAATTAGTTAATAATCTAGTAGCTCCCTGAAGAGCTTGATTATACACTCTCCTTCACTTTTGTGATGAGCAAATGATTTCCAGAAATCCTATTCATGATTAAATCTTTCTGCATTACTAAAATTTACTGGCAGTTCAAAATAGAATCATCTGTGAAAGGAGCTTATATTGGTGGAGCAGCAATTCTTTATACATCATGCATCCCAAAATGTTCTAAAATGAGCTTCCAGTACACATTGCACTATGCTCATAGGAAGAGCAAATAAGGGATTACTTATAATTCTCATTGGTTTACCCCATGCTTAATGATTTGTTACTGGCATAATAAGAACTTAAACAAAAACTACTGGTGATGAAACTCTAAAGTCAAGAATATTTAAGTCTCCTAACATACTTAAAAATAATTTTTAATGACTAATAATTGACCTCACAGCAACCAGATTAAAGACATGGACATCTTAATAGCTTTTCTTAAAAGTGACTCACTCATATTGGTCCAGTTAATTGAGTTTTTAAATGAGAGGGAAGGTCATCACAATAAGGAATGAAGATATATTTTGTTCATAATAAGACTAACCAGTTTCCAGAGTTAAACCAAGAAGAAAGCATGATAAATTCTAGCAACAATAATGATATTTAAAGGTAGTCACAGTAAGTGGATCTCAGAATAATGCAACTAATATCCAGTGCATAAATTTGATTCCTTTATATGATATATTTTATTAATTTGTGCCAATGGTGAGACAAAAAATTAGGGGGATTAAATAATTTACCCAGTGTCACATAATAAACAAATGATGAAATCAGGAATATAGTCCTGGCCATCAAATTCCAGAGCCTGAACTTAGTTGAGACTAGCGGAAATAGAGGATAATAAACACAAAAAGAAAAGAGGTTTCCTATCTTGAAATGGTAATTTTTCTTGCTGGTATTTCTTCTCTCTCTTTTTACAAAGTGATCTCTCCCAATAAATCCATTACCTACCTGACTCCATATATACCATATTTTTCCGTGTATAAGATGCCCCCATTAATAAGACACCCCCTACTTTTCCAACCTAAAATTAAGAAATCAATATTTTAAACATAAAATGGAACACATTTTTATTTAGTAACTAGTGGCCTGGTGCACTAAATTCATGCACGGGGAGGAGGGTGTCCCTCAGTCCAGCCTGCACCTTCTCCAATCTGGGACATCGCTCTCACAATCTGGGACCACTGGCTCCTAACAGCTCGCCTGCCTGCCTGCCTGATTGCCCCTAACCGCTTCTGCCTGCCAGCCTGATCACCCCCTAACCGCTCCCCTGCCGGCCCAATTGATGCCTAACTGTTCCCCTGCCAGCCCGATTGTCCCCAACTGCCCTCCCCTGGTGGCCTGATTGTCCCCAACTGCCCTCCCCTGCTGGCCTGATTGCCCCCAACTGCCCTCCCCTGCTGGCCCAATCGCCCACAACTGCCCTCCCCTGCCGCGACCCACCTCCTCCACGTGAGGTGGCGGAGACGCCAGGACCGGTCTCCACTGCACCGCGTGGAGCCATGGGACCCCCAGGCCTCACCGCATGGAGCTGCTGCCTGGCCCCACCTCCTCTGCACATGTGGCCATCTTGTGGTAGCCATCTGTGGTGACCATCTTGTGATGACATCGTGTGCAAGGGCCATCTAGGCTTTTATTAGTATAGATTACCACAGGTAATGTTCACATACCAGTACTATGATATTATGTAGCAAATCACTTTATTCAGCCTCTGATGTGTCACTGCTCTTTCTTCATCCCTATTAGTTCCAGAGATACCAATTTCTTCAACTTCTGTTATATCACTGCTGTCCTCTGAGTCACTGTCTATATATGTGAGATCATCCTCATAAACTGGTGGCATTTTCTGAGCTAACTTTGTTTGTGTTCTCATGGCCAACCCTTCTCTCCTCATGAAATTGAAGCACTATTTTGTCTTTCCTGTAAAATCAACAATGTTCATTTTGCTTGCAAACATTCTTGCCTGACATTGAGTAAGCTTGGTTGACACACATAAGCCACTCTGGCGCTGTTCCATAATCCAAGTCTTAAGCCTCTGCTCCAAGTTTGCCCATTTTGCTGGTTTTCCCTTTAAGGCCTTCTTCTATTTTGGCATCTTAAGGAGTTGTTCTTCCTGTTTTCTCCACTGTCTGATCATACACTCAGTGGGAGGAGGTCCAAATTGTCTCCCTGCGGCTCTGTTTCCATGCTCTTTTGCATAGCTGATTACATTCAGTTTGAATTTTGCAGAAGACAATCGC